TGTGTAGTGGTCCTACTCTTAATCTTTAAAGGAATATGTCTAGAGATTTCCACAATTTTTCTGTCCATTTGCATTTGAGACAATAGTGTGCAAGGCTTTCCCATTCTTCAGATTATTGCCCATTTTTTTCCATCTTTCTGTGTGTGTGTGTGTGTGTGTGTATGTGTGTGTGTGTGTGTATGAGGAATTGAACTAAGGACTTTGCACTTGTGAGGCAGGAGGCAGAATCACAGAGGTAAATCCCCAGCCTCGTTTTAGTCTTTTTGATAGAGCTATTCTTTCTAATGTGAGGAGATGTGTAAATGTTGCTTAGATTTCATTTTCCTTAGTGAAAATGAGTATGTTTCATATATCATCGGTCCTTTGTATGTTTTCTTTTTAGGAATGTGTACTTAGTTTGTTCACTATTGTTAATCAGACTATTTGATTTTGTTATCGACTGTTTTGAAGTCCTTGAATATTCTTCAGATTGATTCCTTGTAAATAGTATAGTTTTCAGATATTTTATCTTCTCCAGGTTTTCGATCTCTTGGTTGTTTCCTTGGCAGAGCAGGGTATTTTTTGCATTTATGCTGAATAAAACTGCTTCCTTGTCTTCTATTTCATTCATTTTGATATTGAAATAAGCTAATGTTATTTTATTTTTATGTCAGATTTTCATTCTGCAGTTGTGCTGAAATAATATATTAGTACTCACAGTTTCTTTGTTTCTGTAGCGTTAAGTCTGTTTGTCCCGTTCTGCTTCTCACTCTCTGTGCTTCTCCCCCTATCTCTGATTCCCTCCCTCTCTCTCTGCCCAACTCTCTTTGTTATTCAGCTGTTTTTCTCTTGCTTTGTTGAAGTGGTGTATGAGTTATTAATTTGTGCATGATGAGAAATAATCCTTTCATCTCTGGGATAAATCTCACCTTGTTTTCCTGAATAAACTCTCTAATATGCTTCTAGGTTAAGATTTTTAGAATATTGCTAAGAAAATTTGCAGCTATATCCTCAAGAATATCAAACTATGGTTCACTTATTTGTGTACCCTTATTTCATGTTGGTTACAAGGTAGTATTGGTCTGTTTAGCTGACAAAAGTATGGCTCTCCAGGTGTTCTGCATTCTATTTGCAAAGCATGTCTTTCAGTGTGTGTGTGTGTGTGTGTGTGTGTGTGTGGTCTTTAGATTGAAGTGAGTTTCAGGTTAACAATATGTGGTTGGATCCTTTTGAAAAATCCACTCATTTGTGGTTTTTTATTTGAAGAATTTGTTCTACTCTTATTCAAATTAGTTATTGACAGGCAGTGTATTACTATCATTTTATATAGTTCCTCTCTTTATTATTCACTTTGGTTTAATGATATACTATAGATAAATAGTAAATGTGTGTGTTCTCTGATATTCTACTTACTGTATTTGGATCATTTATTATTTCTTTGTATATACTGCAAAGCTTATGAAACCGTATTTGACTTATAACAAATTGCTTTTAAATGATAGACCATAAGATTATTGTGAAAATTAAGGACAGAATATAATTTGAAAACTGTGGATAAGAAAGCTCTACACTAGCACTCCATTTTTTCCTATCTTATATTCTTGGTATCCCAAGTTACCCCTCTCAGTATTGTGCATCTTGTAACACAGTACTGTAGTTGGCATTATTTTTAACTTTTTTCCAGCCTTCATGCTAAAGATATGAGCAGTATTTGTAACATGTTTACAATACTATACCACTTTGAATTTGTCTCTGTAATTACTGTCAGGGTATTTGTGATAGACTCATGTTTTTATATTCATTAGTGTCTGTTTCCATTTGATAATATATGGGCACTGATGGAGTATTTATGACAGTTACCCAAATATGATTTGAGTTGTGACCTCTCTATCTAGAAATTCTAAGCTGCTTGTATTTCCTGAGCCTGTATCATTTCCAGCATTTCAGCACTGGACATCAGCAGAGTTCAGTTCTGCCAGATGTGTGCTGTTGGTGCATTGTCACTGTTTCAGAACTAGAAGGCAAACCAAGCACAGATTTGTCCTAACTCACATTTAGTGTAATTTTTTTAGCATGATGAGGGGACTGCCGAGAAAGTGTAGCCCACACCAACAAGCCTTTCAGTAACTATAAGGTAGGTACAAAGACCTTGTCCAAACTCATTAGCTTATCATATTAAGGAAGTTTTGGGTTATATACCTGGGTCCTAGAAGAATCACCATGGATATGCTAACTTAGACATTTAGGCCAAAGTCTTGGCAACCAAAATTGCAGTTCTGTGGCCCACTCAACTCACAGTCTGGCATTATAAGCACTGCACTTGGGTGGAACAAAGGTTTACACTGCTGTTGACTGTGTGTTGTTGAGCTGGACTTCAGTCCAAGTCTCATGCTAACAGCCACAGGTGGCACTGGGGGAACTGGTGTCCGAGAGATTTGGGCCACAGGTCTTATAGCACTGTGATCTTTCAGATCCTCTGTCCACAAGCAGGCCTCAAGATGCTGTGTTTAATATCAGCCTATTACATGTTTTCTCAAGCCAGTTGCTAAATTTATTTCAAAGTTCTGAACTTATACTCTGTCCTAGTTACCTTTATCTGGTTGGCGAGACAAAACAGACAAGATTCAAGGCTAAAGGAAGAAAGGTTTTGTAGCTCACTCTTTTAGAGGTTGCAGTCCATAATCAACTGACTGCAAAGCAGGGTGACACATAAAGGAGGGGCAACATTTTATGGAGGTGGAAGAGAGCAAAGGCAGCAAGGAATGTAGCAGCACCTGTCTGCCCCTTTTCGCTTATCCAGGCTACTTAGTAGACCTCCACCCTTCATCCTGGTGCCCTTGAGCCCAGTGTGGCATCACAAATCAATTCCAGCTTCACACACCCTAGATCAAGTCAACTCTGAAAAAGCCCCTGACCACAGGAGGCTTTGGGAGACATCCAGACACAAACCATAACAGGACCCTAATCTGCTGCCAGTGAATGGAGTCTGGCTTTACACTCCGAGTAAAGGGGGTGTTGGTGTAGGCAGTCCCTTGGATGCCCAGGCTGACACTAAACCTGGTTGTTTCTTGATATCACAACTGTAAGGACAGGCAGAGTTTCAGACCACATTGAAGCCCACTGAAGCAGCTCATATTTCTGCAGACCAAAGCTGTGACCCCCATCACCTGCTAATTTCTGCCTGGTCCTGTGACACTTCTAAATTGATCTGTAAGTGCTGGCATGTGGATTCTCTTTTCTCCAAGATTATTAGTTTTATTTTTTGCTAGAGGCAAAGGTTATGGTTACATATTTGTTCTGTGTATCTGGGTTTCTTTACCTCAAATTCAGATAAGGGTTGATAACAATTACGAAAAATGAGGAGAGGGGCACAGTGTGCTGGATGCCAAGAGACTGAGCAGCTGATGAAGGTGGTCAGGGAAGGGCTCCTTGACAGAATCCGTTGAGACAGGTCTGAATGGAGAGAGAACATCCACACTGGGAACAGCAAATGCAAATGTGGCATGATTTTGGTTGATCTGAAGAAATGTGAAGAAATTCAGTGGGATAGAAGAGGGGATCGGTGAGGAGAGTGCAAGGAAGAATTGACCAAACTAAGCAGTAGTGAATGTATAATATTACAATCTGTAGAACTGGAAGAAAGGAAAATGTACAGTTTTTTGGATTTTCAGTCTAATTGTTAATCTGAATGTTTAGTGATGTATGATTATATTAAAAAGATGGCTATATTTTTTGCAATTTATTTTTAATTTTATCCTTTTGAAAATAAGAGCATGCTGAATGTACAGAATGATGACATCAAAAATAAATATAAATATAAATTTACCTCATGAGATTTGCTCATTAAATTCCAAGAAGACCTTTCTTTTTTAATCTATAACATATTTTCTCAAATTAAGACTCTAATAATATCATTTTAAAAATGAAGAAATCTTAGCCAAAATTGTATATTATTACCTAAATCAAGTATCAAGCTAGAGCTTTTAAAGACTACTGTTTTATCTGTGGTTCTCAAGTAAATCAGAATCAGCAGAACAGGTATAGACACGGAGGAGAATGAGTGTTGGGGGCACTGTGGTGTATGACAGGAGGTGGTGGAGTCCTGGAAGTTCCCTCAGCTGTCCTAAGACAAGGCTGGCAGGGGTTCACTGAGTCTGACAGGAAGGCCTGAGGCAGGGAGAGTGGGGCTTGGGATTCAGCTCAGTGGTTCTAATGCCTTCCTCACAGGGACAAGGTCCCAAATTCGATCCCCTTGTGCCAAAAAAGAAAGAAAATAACAACAAAAAAGGCCTTGAAGCCATCCCATCTCAGACAGTGCAGAGCAGGGCTCTGATGTGAATGTAGGGGATTGAAGACCAAGAAGAGGTGCAGGGCGTTAACTGGCTTCTAAGAGTGTCAGAAGGGAAATGTCCTCAAGGACAGAGACAGGGCAGGGGGAGGACACTTGCTCTCTCTTGACTTTTTCGGTTATTTTCTATAATGAAGTACACAGACCTTCCTTCACCACTGCTTTAAATTTGAGATTCTGCAAACACTCACAGACACAAAGAAAAATTAAAAATGTGTCCTGGCTACCTGTGCATCTCACTGTTCAGCCAAATCAAGATGTAAAATTAACTGTCACAAATACCGCATTGTTCTGGAGCCTGATGAAACCTACCACATCCACTTCTGTTTGTCATTGTGAGACCCCCATGAACACTGATTGCATTTATGGGCATCTTTGAGCCTGCTGTATCCACATTTCCATTGACATGAGGTCTAAAACAGAACACCTATGCAACGCATGCATATATCAATATCCCTAGGGATGTTTTAGGTAGGACACACCGGGATATTTTAAGCATTCTCACTCTCTGTTTTTTTATTTCTGAAAACACTTGTTTTTTAATGTCAAAACATTTTTGTACAAGTGAATGAATTACTTCAATAATTTAATTTTAATATAGGCCTCAACATGTAACAGCATTCTTGGAGAAGAATCCAGAAATTGTTCAGCTCACAAAGTTGCAATAAAAATCCTATACCTTACTGGGCCTCCCACACACCAATGCATTCATGACCTTTAAGAATGCACTCTTGACCTCCTTGTTCCTCAGGCTGTAGACCATAGGGTTCAGCATGGGAATAACTATAGTATAGAACACAGAGGCAATTTTGGCAGTGTCCACGGAGTGACTGGAGCTGGGCTTTAGGTGCATTAAGATGATCGTCCCATAGAAAATGGACACAGCAGTGAAGTGGGAGGCACAGGTGGACAGAGCCTTGTGATGTCCTGCAGCTGCGCGCATCCTTAGGATGGTGTGAAAAATGAAGATGTAGGATGTTGAAATAAGCAGCATGGCAAAAAAAATATGGAAACTCACGTCATAAACAAGAACCAGCTCACTAACCCGTTTATCAGAACAAGAGAGAGCCATGACTGGTGGGACATCACAGAAAAAGTGATCAATCACATTGGAGCTGCAAAAGGACTGACTGAAGGTTTCCCCAGTGTGGATGCAGCCATTCAGTAAACCAAGGACATAGCAGCCCATGACGAGACCCGCACACACACTGCTCCTCATGGTGGTGGTGTAGCGCAGGGGTTTGCACACTGCTGCATAGCGGTCATAGGCCATGGCAGTGAACAGATAATTTTCCACACAAATGAGGGTTGCAAACAGGAACATCTGAGCAGCACAGGCATTGTAGGAAATGACCTTGTTTCCTGTAAGAAGCCTAGCCATGACTGAGGGAGTCACAACTGAGGAGTAACAGAAATCCACCAGGGACAGGTTACCCAGGAAAAAGTACATGGGAGTGTGCAGACGAGGGTCCAGGAGGATCAGCAGGAGCATCCCCAGGTTCCCAGCCACGGTGAGGGTGTAGATGAGGAGGAAGGTGATGAAGAGGAAAACCCGCAGGCGTGGGTCATCGGTCAGTCCCAGCAGGAGGAACTCAGTCACCTCTGTCCTGTTCTCCATCAGTGCTGTCCAGAACCTCTACATGTGCTGCAGTAGTGATAAAGAAAATACAGAAACATAGAGCAACTGAAATCAGAAAGTACGAGTGCCATATGTCATGTGTAATGTTAGAGAAGTTTGAATTTGAAGATTCTCCAGAAGTATTTTCTTGAAAACACAGCTGATTCTGTTAATTGTATGTAGCTTTATAGGTTTAAACTCTTAAAAATTTTAATGGATCATCTATGTCATCTGAAAAGTTTAAATTTGTAAAATGAAATACAGAAGGTTCACTACAGTAACTTCTCCAGGAATTCTGTGGATGCATCTGTGAGCAGATCAACTCCTCCTGAGCGCAGGATAATCTGACACCGTCAAGTTGCTCTCCTACCATAAACCCATCCGGCCACGTCAGATGGACACCGCTGTGTCCCCAGTGATGCTGTGCTTTGGATTTGTTGTTTCTCTCACATGAACTATGAATCACAAGAGCGGGGGTGGCTCATTCTCACTGCACAGCTGTGAAATGGCAACCTCTGCTCTGCACCCACCCTGGACCGTGACCTATGCCGACTGGGCTTGAGGGCTGAGGGTTGGAAGTGAGTTCGAGTCTGACTGAAATTACCTGATTTGTAATTACTCAATTTCTCCTTTCTTTCAAAGTCAGTCTTCAGTTTTTATAGTGAACTGACTTAACGGTTATGTGTTAATTTCATCAGGAGCTAAAAGTATCCACAAACACAAAAACCAGGAAATGATCAATTCTTCAAAGACAAAATACCTCAGTGTGCTAACAGGTCCTGAGTGAAACTGGAATCTTTTGCCCTGTCTCCTAGTGCTTATCAGCAGCTCACCTCCCCCTGTAGACAGTGAATCCTTATCAGCACCAGCTGTTGATCAAGTTGGAAAGGAGCTGACTCCTGACCCTTATGGCTCCTCTCTGAGCACAGGGGATGTGGGGAGGTCACTGGGGTGGTGCACACGCCCTGGTGCAGGGGAGCCCAGGGAGGGAGGAGCAGCGGATACAGCAGAGCAGAGAGTTTATGCTCTGAGAGACACGCGTCAGCCGCACCCTTACCTCCCAGACATTGTGAGTCCTCCACGGACTGCACTGAACATGATTTGTGATCTGCACAATAAACGGAGCAAGGAGACAGACTTTCAGGCGTTATTGTGAGAATGGAAAAGTAGCTAAGGACCGTAAAATGATGGGTGTAAAGCTCATCCTGATGAGTCCCAGCTCTCAGGCTATTACTAAGATGCAAAAATAGTTGTGAAGAAGTATTGACCCAGGTCGGTGACACTCAGGGCTTTGGTTGCAGGTGACTTGAAGTTTCCCTCCACAGTTTCCCTTCCCCACACAAGGACCTCTGTGATTCTCTGTGCTCTCCGGGGCCTCAGGGCCTCACTGTCCTCCATGGATGTCCTTGCAGCAGCTGCAAATCCATGTGGATCAGGCTTTGTGGAAATTGCTTCCTTGAAATCTGTATTGGAGAGTGAGAAAAAGTCTTTTGTTCTTTAACTTAGTCTTTCATTCATTAATCTCATCATATAGTAAATTCAGAGAGCTAGGACTTAAATATTTTAGTTGAATCTCTTCTTGTGTGGTAACCCTACTTAAAATTTTTAAATTTATTTTGCAGTCTTTAGTAGGAAATTATTATTATTTTTTTCCTCATTGAGTTTAAATGGGGAGGGGAGGAGGGGGTGAAGGGAGAGCAGGAAATTATTATGTCCTATTGTCTTTTTTCTAAGCTTTTTTCCAACTAAATTTATCAACCATCCCCCTGAAAATACTGTTTCATCAAACCCATCACATGTTCACTTTTAACATACACAACACTTGGTCAGCACTTGATATGGCAATGGTGTGGATGTGCTACGTGTAATATTCTTACGTATACAGCAGAACTGCATTTATGTTATGCTGCAAGATTATGTAAGTAAGAGGCAACTTGAGATCCACGAGTGAAGGCCACCTTCCAAGAACAAGCATTTCAGATTATACTAATTCATTTAGACACCTTTGCAAAACAAAGAAGAATCAGTTCACTATTCTGGGTTTATGTTTGTGGCTTTTTTTTTACTCCAAGTGAGATGCAAATATATGGCAAGAAAGGCAACATCAGTATCCACTCAAAGCATCATCTCTCTTCATTGTTTTTGTTCATATTTTTTTTTTTGGCAAAGGAGCATTGTTCGTCTTAGGAATGAACAAAGTCTCTATGAAAGAAGTTTATACCGTCTGCTCATTCAACACTGAAATAATATTTTAAAAACATCTTTATTGTTTAATGATGTCTTCTATTTATAATTAGGGCACTGATATTGCATAAATTACATTTCTGACTAAAATATTTGTGGCACGTAGATGCTTACCAGTTTGCTAAATCAGCAGTAACAGTCAGTACAGAATACTGCTCTGAAATCATAAAAATATTCCCTGAGCATTGCTGACGCTCTCTGAGAGAAGCTCTTCTGACTCACAGAGTAGTTACACTTTCCAACGTACCTAAGGCAAGGAGGAAAAAATGAAGAAGAGGATATTAACATGGGTCATGACCCACAGGTACCAGGAGTCCCTTCTGTGTTACTGGAGAAATGACTTCTTTCTTATCTATGACATAAACATGATGTGAATACTTCTGTCACAGAAGTGCGTCTGTCAACAACAAGGGGTCTCTGAGTCTCCTCTCCAACGTCTCAGCCTTTACAGTTCCCTCCATGTGACTCCCGCTGAGGGATTTCCGTGGCCGCTGCTGCGGCCTCACAGCCAGTCCTCGGGTCAGAACCCCTCCTGCACTCGTGACAGGGACTCTCTCTCCGATGGGCCAGTGCCGTCCAGGAGCAAAGGCAGCGCCGCGTCCCTTCTCACCTGTTGTCAGCTCCAGTCCTGCCGGAGACCTGGAGACAATTATGAGACGCTGTGATCTCTGGAGATTTCCCCTGAGAACAGCTACAGCTCCTCATCCCAGTCTCTTATGGAAAAAGACATCAAGCTCCCTCTAGGGACCAAGATGGCTACATTTTGAAATTAAATGGGTTTTACATTGATAAATGAAAACGTACATATTTTACACATTACAGAGTTGTTCCGAGATGCATGGTTATATCCATACCTCCGGGAGTGCTTACACCAAGATAAACAAGTCTGCTTCTTCAAATATTCATTGTTTCTCTACAGTGAACTCTTCCTTTCTTCTACCTATGTGAAGAATACAGTATATAATTGTTATCTATCCTCATCCTACTCTGAAATGGCACACAGGAGCCCCAGCCTCACAGTGACTTAGCAGCGACTCACTAACCTTCCCCATCCCTCCTCCTCCTTGCTCTCTCCACCTGACTCCCTTCACCTCTCAAGTTGTATGACATCACTTTTGTTGAATTCCATAAATGAGTGAGATTATTCGGTAACTGTTTTTTTTAAATTTAATTTATTGTTACATTCTAGGTAGACAGCACAGTTACATTCATTACTGGGATCTTGTACCTTTACATGCCAGGTCTTGGTTCTCATTTTTTCCCCGTGTCTCCACCCTCCCTTCACCCCCACTTCCTCTCCCCACTTCAAACACTTTAATTCCATTTTAACATTTTCTCATATTTTTTTCCTTTTCCCTTATTCCCCTTTCTCTATACTTCTCACTGTCCCTACACCTTTGGTCCTTTTCTTCCTATTTGCTAATTGTCCCATTAGGATCTTGAGTACTATTTTAGTTTTTCACACTGGAGAAACTATTCGGTATTTGCATATGTGTGGCTTATTTATTTCACTTAGGAGTATATCCTCAAAATGTACCCATTTACCTATGAATGAATCCACTTTCTCATTCTTTATGGCTGAGTAGTATTCCATTTTATAGAAAACCCACATCTTCTTTATCCAGTTTCCAATTGATGGACAGATGGGCTGTTTCCAAGTTTTAGCTATTACAAACTGTGCCACTATAAACATAGGTGCGCATATATCACTGTGATATGATTCTTTTAATTCTTTTGGAAAGATACCCAAACAGAGGGATGGTTGGGTCAAATGGAACCTCTAATCCTAGTTCTTTGAGGTATCTCCATATTGACTTCCATAGTGGTTGCACCAGTCTGCACTCCCACCAACAATGGAGAAGGGTTCCTTTCTCCCCACAGCCGTGCCAACATTCGTTATTGTGTGATTACTTAATAGAAGCCATTCTTTGTGGGGTGAGGTGGAATCTCAGTGTTGTTTTCATCTGCATCTCTGGAATGACCAGTGATGTGGAACATTTTTTCATATATTTACTTGCTGCTTTTATTTCTTTGTCTGAAAAATGTCCGTTCATTTCAGATGCCCATTTTAGAATTGCGTCTTTATATTTGGGGGGGAGCTGGTTGTTTTGAGTTCTTCATATATTTTAGATAATAGTCCTTTGTCTGAGGAGCAGCTGGTAAAAAGGTTTTCCCACATTGTAGGTTGTCTCTTAGTTCTGTTGATGGTTTGTTTTGCAGTGCAGAAGCTTTTTAATAAGATGAGATCCCAGTTGTTGATTCTTTCTGCTAGTTCCCGTGCTACTGAGGATTTGTTCATAAAGTCTTTTCCTAAGCCAATGTCTTCCAGAGTTCTGCCTAACTTTTCTCCTAGCAAGTTTATTGTTTTTGTATTTATATTTAGATCTTTAATCCACTTGGATTTTAATTTTGTGCATGATGACAGATAAGGGTCTAGTTTTAATCTTTTGCAGGTTGAGATCCAGTTTTTCCAACACCATTTATTAAAGAGGCTATCTTTCCTCCAGTGGGGACTGTTAGCTCCTTTGTCAAAGATGAGGTAGCTGAGTGCATCTGGAGTTGTTTTTGTGTCTTCCAATCTGTTCCACTGATCCTCAGGTCTGCTTCTTTGTGAGTACCATGCTGTTATTATCACAGTGGCTTTGTAGTATAGTTTCAAATTGGGAATTGTTATACCCACTGCCATGTTTCTGTTGTCTAGGATGGCTGTTGCTATTCTAGGTCTCTTACGGTTCCAAATGAATTTTTATATTCTTCTTTCTAGTTCTGTGAAGTATAGTGTTGGGATTTCAATTGGTATTGTATTGAATCTGTATAGCAGTTTTGGTAGTATGGCCATTTTCACTATGTTGATTCTTCCTACCCAGGAGCAGGAGACATCTTTACATTTTCATATATCCTCCTCAATCTCTTTTTTCAGAGTGCTGTAGTTTTCAGTGTAGAGGTCTTTTGCTTCTTTTGTTAGATTGATTCCCAGATACCTCATTTTTTTGGGTGCTATTGTGAAAAGAACTGTTTCCCTAATTTCTTTCTCAGTGAGTCTGTTATTTGTGTACAAGAAGGCAGTTGATTTTTGAGTGTTGACCTTGTATCCAGCTACTCTGCTAAAAGTGTCAATTAAGTCTACAAGTCTTTTGGTGGAGTTTTTTGGGTCTTCAATGTAAAGTATTATATCATCAGCAAATAATGACAGTTTAACTTCTTCCTTTCCTATCTTTATTGCTTTAATTTCTTTCTCTTATCTAATTGCCATGGCTAATCTTTCCAGAATTATATAGAAGAGGAGTGGTGATAGTGGGCATCTTTGTCTTGTTCCTGATTTTAATGTACAGGTTTTCAGTTTTTGGCCATTTAATATGATGTTGGCTGTTGGTTTTTCATGGATAGCCTTTATTAAGTTGAGACATAGACCATCTATTCCAATTTTTTGCAGAGTTTTTATCATGAATGGGTGTTGAATTTTGTCAAATGTTTTTTCTGCATCTATCGAGAGGATCATGTGGTTCTTGTCCTTGACTTTGTTAATGTAGTGTATTACATTAATTGATTTACGTATGTTGAACCATCCTTGCATCCCTGGAATAAATCCAACTTGGTCAGGAGGTATGATCTTCTTGATGATCCTCTGTATTCTGTTTGCTAGTATCTTATTGAGGATTTTTGCGTCTATATTCATTAAGAAGATTGGCCTGTAGTTTTCTTTTTTAGTTACATCTTTCCCAGGTTTGGAAATCAAAGTGCTATTTGCTTCCTGGAATGAATTTGGAAGTATTGCTTCTCTTTCAATTTCACTGAAAAGTCTGAAGAGCAATGGCAGTAGATATTCTCTAAATGTCTTGTAAAATTCAGCAGTGAATCCATCACGACCTGGGCTTTTCTTTGTTGGTAAGTTTTTAATTACATTTTCAATTTCACTGAGTGATTGGGGTGTTTAAAATGTTTTTATCTTCTTCATTCAACTTTAATAATTCATAAGTATCTAGAAATCTGTCCATTTCTTCTGTGTTTTCCATTTTATTAGAGTACAGGTTCTCATAGTATGTATTAATGATCCTCTGGATTTCTGTGGGATCTGTTGTGACTTTTCCTTTTTTCATTCATGACTGCGTGAATCTGAGCCTTTTCTTTCCTTTTTTTGGTAAGGTTTGCTAAGGGTTTATCAATTGTATTTATTCTTTCAAAAAACCAACTCTTCAATTCATTTAT